TTATAGATGCTGTCCCTTTTACCAGCAAGGATGATCAGACTACTAGAGTTTATTGGATTTTCTGGAAACAGGGTACAAATTTCATTTTATATCAGTATTGACAAGGAAGATAAAACATTATTTACTGAATATAAAGGCAATACAACATGTCTTCATAACTATTGTGATCATTTTCAGGAGTTAATCCTGGATTTTCTATTGAAATAAAAAAAATTCAGCTTTGTTACCTAAATTCTTAGGTTAAAAATTGTATTTTGCTAATATTGCTGCTTGCTAGATCTGTAGCTCTCTTGTGTGGTTAAGATATGCTTCCTTAACATTTTATTGACTTCAGAGTCTTCATCTGTAAAATGAAGGCGTTAGGCTAGATTTCCATAAAATGTTAGATATGGGTAACGTTTTAGGATTCTAATGGCTCAAAGAGCATGAATCAAGCATAATTGCAGTATTTTAGACTTCCTTGTGTTTTTATAAGGTTTACTGTAAGATTAAATAGAAAAAATTGCTTTCCATGAGTTCTATTAATTAAATTGTTGTGTTGTTGTTTTTGTAGCATCTAATATTTATTCATCAAGCTTAATATGTTATTACAACAGTTACCTTCTTACAAAAGCTTGTCTCTGTTAGTCAAGAGAGCAGGTTTTGAGAAGGTGTGAGAATAAGTGCAAGAAGCTGTCCATTTTTTCCATTTACTCCAGTGTCCATATTCTTCATGTTGTATATTTCTAGTGATCCCTTCACCTTCTGTTGCATTCAGTTTATTCTGACTTCTTAGTTCATGTCACCTGTCCTCCTTGACCATTCATTCATCTTCTTCCTTTTGTCTTCAGTGGCTCCAAATTGACTCAAGAATAAAGTCTGTAGCATGAATTCAAGGACTCTTGTGATCTGACTGTAGCCAGTGTTTCCAGCCTTACTACTGAGACTTATCTCTTCCCCAGTGCTCTTGCTGAACTGGGAACTGGCTGTTCCCCAGGCAAGCCCTGTGCTTCCTGTTTTCCTGTGTTCTATGGGTCTAGTTGGAATGTCCTTCCCAACCGAATACTGTTCTGTAGAGAGCCTATTTTCCTGTTAGGTTTGAGATAGATGTCATGGATTCTACCAAGCCTTCCCTTATCCTCCCCTAAGACTCAAGTACACCTCTGAAAATTATTTATTTGTCTTTTTTATGGCATTCAATATATTCTAATATATAAGAAGCAATATATCAATTAATCTCTTATAATATTAACGCAATAACTTATTATTAATAGACTCCAATAAGAAAATCATATGCTCATGTACTGTCTTGTCTATTTGATGGAAAGATCCTTGAAGACACGGAACCATGTCTTTTTCATACCCACCATAGTGTTTCACATTTGGATCCTTAATGTGTCATGATGAACTAATATTTTTGTCAGAGGAATAACAACATTTCTATGAAATGAGCACTGTCATTCTTTGTCTAGAATAACACAATGTAAAAGAATTTGTGAGATTGCCTTATGTCAGTGTATAATGTAAATTTTGTTTCTAATTATCAATAAGAAGGCATCACCATTATTCTAAGCTCTAGAAAAATGAACCTCACCTTCATGAGGGGTGGGGGTACATAAACTAATATTTGAAAGTTGCTGAAAGTGATCTGCTCCTCTGCTTCTACAATGCATTTAATTCCTGCAGGAGTTGGGACTCATGCAGTTACGAGAAGGTGCATCAGGAAGAAGCATGAGAGCTCCATTATGCTGCTTAACTATACTAGCTTTTTATACTTATATCTGTCTAATACTTGGTAAGGACTGGATTACATTTTACTTCATTGAAAGTTGATTATCTTGCATCTGCTGAGTGAGTAAAAATGTAGAAAAATCAGTAAGAGCAAGTAGTCTGTTTACTTTTTTTTTTTTTTTAAAGCAAAAGTGGATAAAACATCAAGGATTACATTTCATTTTAATTAGATTTCCTCATAGCAACATTTAGCAGAAAGGATGGAGTGGTTTCATTTATTGAATTTTTAAAATCTGTTCTCAACATCAAAAAATTCTATAAACCTTGTTTTGTTTCTCTATTTTAGCATATTCTTATTAGATTTATTTTTTAGCAGAAAATAAGTTTTTGGTTAAGACGAGTTAATTGTACTATTAAAACCAGAAATTCCAATAATGAACCTAAGACAACCACCTCCATGCTTAAGTATTACTCAGTCTGCCCTTAAAGTTCTTTTAAACTAAAGTCATGGATGAGACCTGTCGTATTTTAGGTTTTAAGTAAAAATGACAAGTGTCGCTTTTTGCCTTTTCCATGATTAGGTCTTTGCTACTTGTTAATGAAATTTGGAGAGTTAGTTATACATATCCACCATGTTTCATGAAGACTGAGGCTTTTCCTGTTAAATTTCTAAGTACAGGAGAAGTGAATATTGTGGAAGCAGAGAGTCTCCTTGCACCCTTCCTCCAGCAGTTGCCAAATGTATGCCTACTATTTCAATTGTATGTTTTAACCGTAATTAACCAGCCAACACTGATTGTTGAGCAATGTCTTTTTTTCCTCTCCTCACAGGGGCCACTCATGCTGCTTTATCATGCCCGAATAAAGCTGCTGAAGGGGAATGCTGAAGAGGTACTTCATTTTGAGGAGTTTCTTATCTGTATTGTAGAGTTGCATCGCATACTCATTCAATGCTCAACTCAAGTAAATTCAGCTATATGGACTACACAAAAATGAAGAAATAAATATGTCATGAAAAGGCCAGAATTTAATTTTATGCATGTGTTCTATTGTGTGAAATAGATAACTAAATATTGTCTATGTTTACAGATAAATTATGTGAAGCGGTTCAAGGTAGATTATACAAGAGAATTTGTAAGAAATGTAAGAGATTTTCAAAAAACGTTTGACTCGTTGGTTTCTGCATCACACACCAGCTTTAGAATGTAGCCTCCTGCCAAGAAGCACATCCACTACATTACTGTGGGTTCCATATCAAAGGACGTTATTCACCGAGTCCCTTGCAGGAGGGACCACTGGGGCCACAGGTAGAAGAGTAAGGAACATTTCATGTAATATACTCATAAACAATTTTCTTCCATGCAAATTGGCTCAAATATAGTATTATACTGTTTTGTTTTGTGTTTTTTCCTACTTATACTACAGCTTGGATATTTTTCCAGGTCAATATATCTAAAGCTCCCTCATTCTTTTTTTTGATGGTTGGGTTTCTTTCCATGGGATGGGTGTACCATACTTATTAAAGCAATCTGCTGTTTGTAGATATTTGGCTACTACAAACAGTGCTCTTGTTGTAAATGTTATTATATTGTAATATTAATATATTTCTGTGCATAGGTTTATTCACGTAGGACAGATTCTAATAGAGTTTCTGGGTCAAAAGATGTGTGCATTTTGATAAATCCAACAGATGCCCTCCTAATTTAAAGTTTGTTCAGTTTACACCCCTGTAGGAGATGAAAATATTTGTTTCTAATTCTGTTTTCCAACTCTGGACTTTATAATTTTTTTTCCTCTAGTTTTGCCAATATGATGGCTGAAAAATGATTTTAATTTAAATTTTCCACTTATCAACTCCTTCCTATGCATACTTTTCATTTGTATATCTTTTTTTTTCTGATTTGTCTATCCATCTTTGCCAATTTTCCCGGGAGTTTATCTTTTTCTTAAGGATTTTATAAAATTGTTGTGCGATAAGGTTAATCTTTTCTCAGTTATGTTTGTATTGGATATTTTCTCCCATCCTGCCCATTGTCTTTAATTTTGTTTAGAAAGTATTTTACTCTATGGGAGCTTTGCCTTCTTAGGAACCCAAATCTGTATTTTCCTGAAGGAATTTGGTGTTTTACATTTTACTTGAGAAGGGACACTCCATGTTAAAAAGTGCCAAGGCACAATCACAAAGTTAAGCAAAAAGGCAGAACTTAACTGTATCATTGCATGTAAGAAAAGGAACATGTCATATTGAATCGTTTAATGAATAATAATTTTGTTCTTTTAGTACAAAGCATTTTATGTATTTCTGTTAGGTTATTATCTGCTTGTCTAGTGTCTGAATGATCAGCTTTATGCAATTGACTTATAGGCACAAGAAATATTCCAAAAATGCATTTCAGTTCAAGAACAGTGGAAACAATTTAACCATCTTGGTTACTGGGAGCTGATATGGCTTTATATAGTCCAACAAAACTGGATACAGGCATATTACTATTCAGATCTGCTTTGCAAAGAAAGGTAAATCACAGTGCTTTCATAATGTCATTTATTTGCCAACAAATGGCCAGAATGATTTTCATTTAGGACTGTTTGTTCAGTAGTATGACATCAACACTATTTTATCAACTTAGAGATCCACGTAAAGAGGAAATAGACGTTAAGTAACTACTGCTTATGGGTTCTCTACTCAATGCTAAGTGTTTAAAAAAAGAAACAAAAACTGAAGAGTCCTTTTGAAAAAAGATTTTACTTCTATTTAAAATTATTAAAGTATGTGTTGTTGTTGTTGTTATGTGCCATCAAGTTGGACCCGACTCATAGCGACCCCTACTTAGGTTTCCAAGGCAGTATCACTACAGAAGTAGATTGCCCAACCTTCCTTCTGAGGAGGTGGCTGGTGGGTTCGAACTGCCAGCCTTCTGTTTGGTAGTCAAGTGCCTTAGGCACTATACTACCAGAGCTCCTATTACTAAGAATGTAAGTATCAATAAAAACCAAACCAAACCAAACTCACTGCAAACAAGTAGATTCTGACTTATAGCGACCCTCATTGGGTTTCTGAGGCAGTAAATCTTTATGGCAGTAGATTGTCCCATCTTCCTTCTGCATAGTAGGTGGTGGGTTTGAACCACTGGCTTTCTGGTTAGCCGCCCAATGTCTTATCCACTATGCCACTAGAATTCCTTAAGTATCAATAGGGTTGATAATTTTTCCTAGCCTTTCTGATGTCTTGATAATCAGCCTTTTTAATGATAATCAGAATGAATTCTGATCCATTTGGGAGAAGTTGGGAGGAATGAACTAATGATCTCTTGTTCATTCTGCCTACTTTCTCACCCATGGTCACTATAGTTATATAATAGGAAAATGTTCTAATTTAAGTGGAAAGTTGTATTTTCATTAGAAACAGACAATAAAAACTTTTCATTTCCCTTGATTTCTTTGGTGCCTCTTAAGTATTATAAACAGAAGGTTTGTAGGTCACTCTTGATTTGCAGCATAGAAATATTATATACCTAGGGATGTTCTATAACTAGATGCTTTTTTTCTTTTCTGAAAGGCAACATATGTATTCCTGAAAGCTGCAATTTAGAGTAAGCTTCCAGAGGAAGATGTTGTAACAACTAAAGAGAATGTGGTAACTTTATTCACGTAAACAAGACACTATAACAAAGACCCTGAGTGTATAAATGGGGACACAGATACCTCTTCCTCTTTCCCTTAGTGTTTTCCCATGCTTCACCTTGATATTTCTTTAATTCACCTAATCACTGATAAAAGAACCCTTACATTTAGCCAAGAATTGAAATACCATCCTTTTAGAAGGATTTTATAGATAGGCTGGTGTAATCGAAAATCTTGAGAACATGTTCCTTTATTTATGTTTTGTAAGTAGGGTTTTGTCATTGGGTTTTTGTTGCTGAGTTTTAAAAACAATTTCCTAAATTGGTGTGTTAGACTGGATTCTCTAGAGAAACAAAACCAGTAAAGCTTATATAGAGAGACAAGGAGAGATTTATCTTAGGAAAATGGCTCACACACTTATGGAAGCTTGGAAGTTCAAAGGTCTTGGATCAAACGTCAAACTTGAGGCTTTCCCTGACTCACACAGCTACAGGTGCTGAGAAGCTAAAGGTTGGCAGGCAGCGTACTGGCTGTTGACTCCAACGAATGATGAATCCAAGATCTCCAGGCTGAATGGTCAATTGTTCGCTCATGGACAGTTGTAAGCATCACAACAGAATCCTATCCATAGAAGAGTATCTCTTTTCCCAGGATGTCCATAAATATACTAGAAACAGGCCACACCCTTAGGGAAACTTCCTTTCAGTGGATTGGCTGCTCAAAACATACACATCTGACACCATCCTGGGAATAACCACATCACAAGTGCTTAAACCACACAGAATTGTGGCCCAGCCAAATTGACACAGAGCTCCAGCTATCACAGTCCACCCCTTGTCAACTTGGCAGTTGTACACATCTTCTTAACCATGTATAATCTCTAAATAAGGACAATTATAAAGTCATATTTGTGCCTAACATGATATGCTAACACACAAACAACCGAAATGCATTAACCTTATTTACATTTTACAGGTCATAACAGAAGGAAATAAAAATATTTGATGCACATATACAATGAAAAAATGTAACAATC